CATCAGGCAGCTGTGCGGCAACAGCTGGCAGAGGCAGAAGCAGCTGTTGGACTAGCTGTGATGGAGTCTGCAGTAGAGGCACTGCCCCTGGTAGAGGCCATTGAGATATACCCTCTGGCTGAGGCCGAAGGGGTCCAGATCAGTGGCTGATTCTACCCTGTTTCCCGTTTTAGCACCACCATGCCTTGTTGCTAAAGGCCCTCTTCCAGCATCCCCTTAAACCTCTGTACATACTGTGCCCCTTTTTCTTTTCCCTCCCTGCCACTGTGTAAGTTCTGAAACTGGATTCTCTTTTCTTAAGGGGATGCTCTGGGGTCCTTGACATGCATAAAGGTGCCCCCACAACCCTCCACCCGTTAGCATTGGTGACCCCGAAGTAAAAGAGTCAATAAAGACTGAGTTAAACGTGTTTTTGTCAGGCCTAGCTGTGTAGAATGGAATTTGGGAGTTGGGGCCTAGTACTAGGTCTGACTATGCCTACATTCCCAGAACCCAGTACAGGGCTTAGCGGGTAGTAGGAGCTCTTCTTGAACATTTGCTGGATTAAAGGGTCTATAGGCATGGCGCCCAGAGCAGGAACTTCTCTAGTGTTAAAGGGAGGTAACATGACTTTCTTGCCACTGGAGGTCCCCACAGCCCTGCAGAAAATGCTCAGATCTTTTCTGCTAGTGGTTAGGAATGTTTGGAGAAATCCTTAGATTCTTACCAGCCTCTGTCCCTTCACTTCTTGCCCGATGTGGCCCATATCGCCCAAGGCCATCTGGTTTACTCATAGGGTTCCTAAGGGTAAACTCAGGTTGGGCATATTTCTGGGACAGTAAAGCAGGGTGGTTCCTGAGGTCAGACTCAGCTGTGGAATTGGATAAGATTGTGAATAATGTGTCACTGGGGTAGGAAGAAGCATAAGAGGAGGTTGCACTCCTGGAGTTAGACTATGGCTCAACCAATACATTTTGTGGGGGAAGAGGCAGTGCTGGGGTGGCTTCCCAGTTTTAGAATGTCTAGTTATCTATGAATTGCATTATTTTGCATAACATTTATACTGGTCCTGTAAAGAGAACATTTTTGCAGGGAAGGTGTCTAAAGTCATAAGCATTGAGGTAACTTCCCCAAGGTCAGTTCAAACCAGACAGAGCAGAGCTTGAATTTAAGTCAGGTTTCATTTAGCTTAATCATCCATATACTTTTCACTCTATTTCCTTTTACATAACTGGGGGAAGGTGGTAGAGACAAGAGAATGGAGCGTGCTCAGTTGCTATGCCAGCCTTGCCTCTAAGATGCCACCTCCTGAGATGTCTCCAGATAGTTCTGTTGGAAAGAATTCTTAATTTGGAACCCCAATACAGAAGTAGAAAGAAAAGCTATATTGAAATTCTGGGAATGGGAGGCCCAGGACCTGCCCAGTAAGCATCCCTGATATTCTATTCTCTTCAGACCTTTGGCTCTCTGGGCATCGAGGCCCTAGGATGTCATTTGAAGATCAGAGGTTTAATCTGTTGCTCAGCTGAGAGGAAGGCTCAGAGGGGTTACCAAGGCCACACAGGCAGTTAGAGGTAAGAAGGGCTAGAAGTCAGATCTTCTAATTCCACTGCTTTTCTAACACATTAGCTTTTTTACAAAATAGTTAATTTTTTAAAAATGTACTCATCATTTGATGTCCTAAAAGCACCTAATAAAGAGCAGTTCTGTTAAGTAGTTGTTTCCCACTATGATATGTTGATCATGGATATCATCTTCATATTGCATATCCTATAGGAAGGATTTGAACCATTGTAGACGATCATGCCAGGTCCCCATAATTACCCATAATGTTTCCTGAACTGCACTCCTGAGGTGCTATAATATCCTGAAAGTAGTATCAAATAAGTGCTTAGAAAGATTCATCCTTGCAAAACCAGACAGCAGGCTGAATTAAGGAAAAAAAAAAAATGGGCAGAGTACAGTGGTGCATGCCTATAATCCCAACAGTTTTGGAGGATGAGGCAGGATCAAAAGTTCAAAGCCAGCCTCAGCAATTTAGTGAAGCCTGTCTCAAAAACTAAGAAGGGCTGGGGATGAGGGTTAGTGGTCAAGTGCTAAGGGGTTTAATCCCTGGTAGCTCTCCACCCCTCACCCCCAAAACAATAACAAAAAGGAATGGAGAAAAAAAGTACTGGTTGACCACAGACCAAAAAAAAAAAAAAGCTTTAAACAGAATAACAACTATGATGATAGGGTGACTGTCCTTTATTATTATTTTCTGGAGCCTATAATAAAAGCTTACACATAAGAAAAGTTTACCCATGCAAACAAAGTTTGCGAACAAATTCCGGGAAAGTATTATTCCCCATCACCCTGCTGAAACTCAGATGCTGTTCAGTTGAACCTTTGTTTAAAAAAAGGCAGTACTGACTACTTGTTGGATGTTGGTGTTCGAGTTGGACTGGCAAAGGTTCTCAAACTCCACAATGATTTGTTGGGCAATTCCTTCTGAGTTTTGGACCCAGCAAGCAAATCTAGGGTCAAACACCAAATCTATTGGTGAACACACCAATTCTGATGAGAGCGGCTTGGAGGCCCTTAACAAGAGACTTGCATTGACTATTTTGGAATGGAAGTCAAATAGTCAAAAGAACCGAACACTGCTCCTCTAGTACCCAGTGTTCTCTTTTCTTCCCCCACAGTACTAGGGTCTTATTAAACCCTGGGCCTCGCACATGCTAGACAAACATATCCTCAGCCTTTATTTTATTTTGAGAAAACGTCTCACTCTGTTGCCCAGGCTGACCTTGAACCTGTAATACCTCTGTCTCCCAAGTAGCTAGGATTACAGATGTGCACCATCACACTCGGTACCCAATATGCTCTTAACAAGAGTAGGCCCAAATGTAACTAGAAGGTGGGGCATGTACATAAACTGGGCACATTCACTGGGCTACAGGTGGACACATTTGAGGCTTCAGGACAAGTGGCAAACTCTGAAGGGTGCTCTGGTGTGCCGTCTGCTTGTCACAAGATGACCTGCATGGTTCTGACTGTACCACTCTGAATGCTGGAGCCTGCACCAAAAGATCCTCCTCAGCACACTATCCTGAAGTTCCTATCCTGCTGATTTAATTAAGAGTTGGAGAGGAGCTTGCTTGACTTTTTTCTTTTTTTTTTTTTTTTTCTTTTTTGCTGTGGTGGGAACAGAACCCAGGGCCTTGTGTATGCAAGGCAAGCACTAATCTGCTGAGCTATATCCCTCGCTTTTCTTTTAATCTTGCCAAAATGATGCATCGCTAATACTTCATTACTAAATTATTAAACCCCTCATCCAGTCTTTTCTCCTTTCCATTTCCTTCTTTCCCTACCCTTTGCTACTGGATTTGGAATCCCAGCACCTGTATGCCACACAGACATCAGATGATAATTCAGTGACAAGAAAACCCCAATAGCTTTCTCGGTATATTTTTGTGAGAAAGCAGAGTGTTAAGACCACTTCTGATTTTCAATGGTGAATTCTAGAAGTCAGCCCAGGCTTGGCCTGTGAAGCTATAGTTCCTGCCTATGACTTATTCAAGATAGGCGAAGAATTTGAATAAATTATATTTAATGTCCCTCTAAAAAGGAAGAAGGATGGTATGTACATTGTACCATCAAACAACATCAAAATCAACTAGTTTTAAAAGAGCTTTAAAGTCTTCTGGGGAAGCATCCAGGGATGGAGGTGGGTAAGTACTTGCTGGTCCCTGGTTTTGTTATAGTTCTCATTTATTGACTGCTGTCAGATTTATTGACAGTGTTGTCTGTCCTAAGCGCTTTACTTATACCATCTCATTTAATTCTCTCAGCCCCATGAAATAGGTATTATCTGTTTTATAGACAAGAACACTGAAAGTTACATATTAAAGGTCATATCCATAAAATGGCAGAACTGAATTTTGAATTCAGCCTAAGTTCCAGGACTTAGTTTTCTGACTGGTAAACAATTTTGTTCGGGCCTTCTGAACATTCAGTATTTGTACAGAAGTAAAACTCTCCCTCCCCACATTACCATCCCTACCCTTATACCCTCATTTCTTCACCACCCTTCCCAGCACAGTCAGAAGACCAAGGGAGAGCAGGCATCATTTCTTTCTGTACAGTTTTTAATTTTTAATTTTTTGATGTTTGTTGTTCAGATGAATGACACACTCAAGTTACAAAAATGGGGCCTTAAAAGAAGCACATTGTACAATGAACAAGCAGATTGGAGTTAAGAACACTGAAACGCTAACCCGCTACCACGAGAAGAGACAGGGAAAGGGTAAAGGATGGGAGAGGAGGGCTACCAACACAGGGGTCAGAGAACTGAAAAGGGGGTTCACTTGGGGGGATGGAGGAAAGGCAGGTGTACTCCAGAGTCTACTCAATTTTTGGATGCCACTCGGTCTCCTGTGACCACTACTTGCCACCTTTCCAAGTCTCCCACCCAATTAGGTGAGACACCCACCCCAAAAAGGGCTCAGCCAATCAGATCTTTACAAAGTGGGGTGGTCACCCTCCCCTAGTGCAGTCCTGAATCGGGGTGTAATGGTGGCAGCAGTGGGATAAGAGGCCAGAGGGAAGTGAGAAGAGCTGCTCAAAGATTAGGACCTTGCTTTTCCCTAAAGACACCCTGCCCTTTCCTCATCCCACCATGATCCAGAGGCCTCTACAAGTTGTCAAGAGAGGCTCCCAGTTACCCTGCAATTACATAAATAAATACTGAGCCCCTGGTCTTGGAGGATAGGTTGGGGGAAAGGCGGCAGGGCTGGAGGAAAGGAAGGGGGGGGGAGGCGGGGGAGGGGTCACAGACATAGTAAATTGTTGTCTCCATCCCAGCAACACTTCTCTCTGAAATTTTTGCTCCTTTTGTTGTTGTTTGTTTGGCGAGGAGCTAACATCTCAAGGACAAATACTTAAAAATATACATTATTTTTTATTTTTCTCTCCTTTCTTATCATCGTCTTGCTTTGGAGACTGTTGAGGTCAAAGTTTAAACCGCAAGAGGGAACTGCGGCTCGGAGTTTTTGTGTATTTTTTTTTTTTTTTTTTTTAGTTTTTATTTTAAATTTTTTTTTTCACTTTTTTTCCCAACGTATAAAAAGGTAGCGGAGTTGTCTGTGGGTTTTTTTTTTTTTAATGGTTAAATCTTTGGTTTGTTTCTTTATTCTCTTGGAGGCCTTTATCTCTCGCACTTGCCTTTCCCACTGAGACTGGTGGGGGCCCGCGTGTCTCAATCTTGCTCAGTCTGTCTCACTCTCACTCAATTCCCCCTACCCTGGGCTAGAGGAAGAGAGAGGCACCCTGGGGTTAGGGTGGGTGAGAGAAAATAGGTCAAGAGGTCACCCCCCATTAGTTCCTTCTGAATCTTCCCAGGGTGCCAGGCTTGGAGACCATTCTCTTGGCCTTCCCCAAGGAGAAGATGTGTGGAAAACTCACACCATCCCCCTCCTGATCTTAGCCCCAACTTCTACAGGGACCTGGGGCCCCCATCCCTACTACTCACCCCCCATACACACCCAGCCCCTTCCTCCCACTTCTAGTCCCCACTCTGCCCTCCAGAAGAGAACAGAGAGAGGTGGTTTAGTTACTGGCATCTTTTTTTTTTTTTTTTGGCACAATTAAAAAGCCCATCATTAAGTAGACCCAGTCTCTGTCCCTCCCTTAAGTAGGAGGTCAGGGATGGGAAGAAGGGAAATTCAGAGGGCTCCCCTTGCCCCAGTTCACTCACCTTTCCTCTCTAGCCCAGGCCCCTGGCCCTCTATCTGACCTCTAAGCTAGCTTAGAGCCTGGCCTGGGGTCTCCCTCCCCTATCCCCACATAAAGCTCCCCAGCTCTCCAACTCTCTCGCTCACACACAGACACACGGACACAGGCTCTGTACAGACCACAAAATAAAAACGATGAGATAGTTTTGTTTCCCGGAGTCGAGGCGGGGTGGGGTGGGGGCCAGAGTGGAAGGAGCAGGTGGGGGTGGGGGGCAGGAATTCCCCCATCACCATCCCAGCCCTAGCTCCCTCCAACTCCAGCCCCTTGCCCTGGCTGGCCCCCAGCCAACGATATTTGGTTTCTTTTCTTTTTTTTTTTTTTTTTTAACATTAAAGTTCTATGAGGTATTTGGTGCCTTATCTCGAGTCCTCGGAGGAGGGGGGCCCAGGGGGGAGACCTGGGGCTCACCTGCCCCTCCCTCCCTCCCTCCCGCCCCTTCCCAATATTTGGTTTCACAGCTGTAGTTAAAGCTTGGAATTTGGTTATTCCCCACCCCCCAGGAATTTTCTTTTTTCTTGTTTTTCTTTTCCAAGTTGTGGGGGTAGGATGGGGAGGGTCCCCTCTACCCCCAGCTGCATGGGGGTCCCTCCACCAAGTCAGGGCATCTGCCCCATCCCTGCCCTGCTTCCTCCTCTCTCATTGCCCCACTCCCCACTCGCTGGGATGGGGAGAGGTCCCAAATAGGGGACTTGATGGGGAGGAAGCAGGATGAAGTGGGTGGTGGTGAGTCCTGGATTTTCTTTCCTTTTTTTTTTTTTTTTTTTTTTTTTTTTTTTTCCTTTTTTTGGTCTAGAATCATAGCTTTCATTTGAGTCATCTCCACCATGCCTTCCATGCTGCCTGTCTTCTCGGAGGGGGTTTTTGGTCATCATTCCTTTCATTCTGCTCTGCTCAAACATCCTTCCTATCCATTCAGGAGCCCTTGGCCCCTCTCCACCCCTGGGCTGGGGCTTAGGTCCTTTCACCAGGCCCTTTACAGGACATCAAATGGACAAACTCAGAGGTAGGGTGAGGGCAGGGAGCTGATTCATCGGAGATGCTTACATTCTAGCAAGGATGGGCTGAAGAGGTGCCAGGCCCCATTAGTGCCAGGGGTGGGAGAAGCGCTGCTCCACCACTGCCCAGACAAGGCACTGAGGCCCTTGTGATGGCTGTCTCTGCTGCCTCTGTGGCCCAGCCCAACAGTTTTGTTTCCCGGTTGGGAGAAGGGAGACAGAAGAAAAGAGAACGCTGAGGCTGGGGCTCCGTCTGCCTCTCTTTGGAGTGTCCAGCAGAAAGCATGGAGGCCACCTGGCCATCTCCAGGCTCCCCTCCCTCTGCTCCTGCCCAGCCAGGGGCGGGGACCACTCTGATTTCAATGGCTCCAGTCCTTCACAGCAACACTTTGGTTTGAGGAGAGACACAGAAAGAATGAGATTGAGAGAAGTGAGAAAAGAGCAAAGGGAAAGGAGAAGAGAGAGGAGAGGGCAGGGAGGGAGGGAGGACAAGAAAGAGGAAGGAGACAGGAGATAACAGAAAAAGAAATCAAAGGAGGAATCAAACCACCCGAAAACTGTTGGTTTTCCTTCGTCCATTCTTTTTGCTTTCTTCTTTTTTTTCCTGTCTTTTTTTTTTAAAGCTTTTTCAGTTGATTGGGGGGGCGAGGAGTTTGGGGCTCTTCACCCCTGTCCCTGACACCCTCTCTCAGCCCTGCCCACCCACTTCCATCCACCCTGGCTGAGGGACAGGCCCTGCCCCAGCCGTCCCCCTCCGGCTTTCCCGAAGACGACGTCCATGAGGTATTTATGAAGAGAAAGAAGCATCCATCCTTCCATCTGCCTTGGGGACCAAAGGCCTGGACCACTGGTGCAGGGGCTTGGCTCCACCTCGAGCTTCCTTCTTATTCTTGAAGAGTCCTTGTCTTCTTTCCCTTATATATTTATTTATATATATATATATCTATAAATTCTTTTTTTCTAGTTTTAATTTATTGTTTGTTTGGTTTTTGTTTGTTTGTTTGTTTGTTTTTTTGGTTCAAAACTTTGTTGGCCTCCACAATAGCAGGAGGGCAAGGTGGCTCCCAGTAGCGTCTCTCCTCTGTCCATCATCAAGATGCGTCTAGGGCTGGGCAAACCCAGGGTCCAGCAAAGACTTGTGGAGGTCTCATGGGAGTGGTGGCCACCACAACGCCCTCTTGGATGGGGACCATAGGTCATGGCACTGTCCCCGCCACATGGACCCTGATGGGGATGCCATCTGGAGGAACCCACCACTGGGGTGCGTGCGTGTGTGCGTCGGGACAGGGGAGGGTAGGCATATGCCAGTGTCAGAGGGGCACAGGGTGGGCGGAGTGAGGTGAGTTATCTTTTTGGTTTCTGGTTAATGTCAGAACGTGAAGGATCCCACGGATAGGCACTGGAATATGAATATTTTTTTCAGGGAAACTGACAGGATGGAAAAAAAGACAACTTGAATGCCCTCACCTCATCACCTATTGCCTGAAACATCCACCTTCCCACAGGCTGGAGAGGGGTAGATTCCAGAGCACAAAAGGGTGACAGGGTTGAGGAGGGACTTATGAGAGCTGGAACTTGGCAAAATGGCCTAGCCCACCCTTCAAAGGGAAAAGGGGGAGGTACAGGGTGAAAAATCATCCCCGGGCCTTCCCCCGAGCTCACCCCTGGCTGGGGGAGGGAAGAGGGCTAAAGAAAGACCCCCTGCCCAGGTGGGGAGAGCTGGGGGCCAGGGGAGAGGGGGACATATGGTAGGGACACATTCTGTTGAGCACAACGCTAAAAAGTCTGTACATCCTTTGGATGAAGCTACTGAATATTTGGTGTAAGGTTGTTCAGGCCCTTTCTTTCACCTTCTGGAAAAGAACATTTGATGGGTGGTTCTGGGTCAGGGCCCTCTGCCCCAGGCTGTGCCCTGTCTCTGCTGGCCCAGGGTTGGGGCAGGGGTCAGCAGGCTGGCACCAGCAGGCTGGCACATTCTCTTTTTCCTTCTTTAGCCCCCACTTGGGGGGCAAGGTTGGAGGTTGCCCCACAGCCAGGGCTCGGCAGCATGAGGTCCGACCTGCAGGAGGCTGCTCTGCTCCTGGCTGGGGTTCTTATTTGGTGTCGTAGCAGTGAGGGTGAGCACTCTGAAGTCTGGCTCGAGACTGGTTTTTGGTTTGATTTTGTGGGGTTTTTGTTTGTTTTTGGTTTTTTTATTTGTTTTTCACCTCTGGTTCCTTTGGGGCAGCTGGTTTCTGTTGTGATTATTTTTGGTTTTCTTTTTTGTTGGTTAGTTTCTTCTTTTTTTGGTTGATTGGGTTTTTGGTCTTTCCTCCCTTGTCACTCCTGCTCCAAGGACCCGATGTACCCCCACCACTGGCCTCCTCGCCCTCTTCCCAGGCGGGGGACCAAGGTGGAGGGTCAGAGGAGTGGGAGGGGAAGCATGATGGGCCCTCACTCAGGCTTGGACCCTGCCTCGGGCCCCCCTGGGCCTCCAGGGGTCTGTGCTGCCGCCTCACTACAAGTGGAGGAGGAGGAGGACGAGGATGAAGAGGATGAGGAGGAGAGGCCAGGAGACTTGCTGGAGATGGAGGCTGCCACTGCCGCAGCCGCTGCTGAGACCAGGCCCACACCTGGCGGGGCGCTGAGCAGGGGCAGCCCGGCGTGGTTCAAGAAGAGTGGCGAAGTTACCAGGCCAGGGCTCCCTGGGGCCGCGCCAGCTGCCCCCAGCACCAGGTTCCCGCTGCCATCAAGGCTGGTAAGGGGCAGGGTTCCACCAGAGGCCAGGGCTGGTGGGGAGAGAGAGAGGCTGGGCTGGAGGCACACCAGGCCAGGGGAGACCTTCGCCTCCCAGTGTCCTACCCCAGTGACCCCATCAGTGCAACCTGTCTGTCTCCCCATTTGTCCCACTGCCCCCATCAGCAACCCTCACACCTTCCCCAAAGGCAAGATGGGGATGAAGAGGCGAGCGATGCAGTGAGCAGGGGCAGGATGGCATGGCTGGAGCAAAATGCAGGGGGAGGGGGCTCAAGGCCCTGAGGGACAGGACTAGAGGATGGGACTGGTGACAATGGGAGTGACATGAGGCAGCACGCACCTTGGATAGTGGCCAAAGGGTTGTTGCTCATGAGGGCTGGACTTAGCCCGGAGCTCAACCCCACCATTGTGCTTCTGCAAGAGCAAAGCAGAGGCGTTAGCAGGGGCAGGGAGCTGCAGGAACTGGGGTGCAGCTCCCCACCCTGAAAGCAGCAGCGACCCAGCTTCTCCCCACAGCCTCCCTGCCTGCACCTGCACACTTACCCCGTGCTGGGGTTCAGGCCTGACAAGCCGATAGCCGAGTGGCTGCCTTGAGGACTGGGGTTTGTGCTGTTGGTGGTGGCCGGGGGTGGGGGAGTGACAGAAGGGATGGAATTGAGGGGGGGCACGGGCCCGCCCCCGCCTCCACCCCCTCCAGCTGTCCGACTGGGGTGTAGCGTCCCCACAGTTGAGGATAAGGTAGTAACTGCCAGAAAGAGACAGAGAGATGGGGTCTTCAGCTTCCACTAAGTCCCCCATCAAGGAAGCCGGGATCAACCCCAGCTTGTCATTTCCTCCAGCTCACTCAGCATCTCCTCAGCAGAACAGACTAGACATCCCTGTTCCCTCTTCCCTGAGCCCAGAGTCATCTCCTTGTGCCTCTGCAATGGGAAAGTGGTTCCCAATAACCTTAGTAAGAGCAGCGGCCTCCTACTGAACCTGTGCCAGACAGATGCTGGATCTGCAAACCACACCTGAACCACTTTGACACTGACAAGAAATGGGGCACCCAGGAGACAAAACCCCATTTAGGGACTCCTTCTAGAGGCCACAAAGAGGGCATGAGTATGGGCATGCAGGGCAGGGAGGGACTGAGGGCCAGTATGCTCTGTCTGGGATTAAGTTTCCTGGCTCTGTCATGTCACAGCTGTGCCCTGAGATGAGCGCCTTCACCTCTCCAATGTTCAGTTCCTTCTTCTGGAAAATGGGGATATAATAGAACCTAACTCATAAAATGGGTGTGACAAATCAGTCTATAAGCTTTATAAGGAGCTTAGAATGGTGCCAGGCTCCCACTAACTATTTATAAACCTCTACTTATGATTTCTTAAACTGAGGAAACTAAGGGGGCAATATAGTGTTTGTTTATATTATTATTATTATTATTATTACTATTATTATTATTACCAGTACTACTACAGTTCTGAGGACTGAACTGAGGGCTTCTGTCATGCTAGGCAAGCACTCTACCACTGAGCCACTCCAGTTCCTGCACTCTGGTCTGTGTATATTTATAAGCATATCTTAGCCGAGTGGCTGCCTTTCATAATATACATTACAAAAATTGAGGCTCAGAGAGGTAAAGTAACTTCTTGACTTCACATAGCTTATAAATGACAGAGGCCAGGGACAAAAGCTATGTGTGTCACTTTTTAGCCACCTCCTGCTTTTCTCACAGGAAATCCTGGAGCAGATTAGAGCCCTGGTGCTCTGGTGGAAGAGGAGGAGGGTCTGCCTTCTATCCTCTGTCCTTCCTACTCCCCCTGACCCCCAACCTCCAGACTCAGCCTGAGGCCCATGGCCACACAGCCACTGGAGAACCTCAGGCTACAGCCTGCGCAGCATCCTCCCACTCCCCTCCCGGCCTTCTGCCCTCCTGACCTGTTGTGCTCAGACTGCTGGAAGCTTGGGACAATGGTAAAGTCCCTGCGCCCCCTTGGGGTGTGACCTGGGGAGAGAGAAAAAGAGGTATGTTTAGGCCATTGTCTCCCAGAAACCCCCATGATGCTCCCTGTGCATATGACCCCCAGTGTCCTCCCCAAGGGACTTTGTATACAATGCTACGTTTGTATTATGTCACTTGCTTTCCATTATATCTTTCCTCACATTTACCCTAGGTGAGTCTGAGTCACAATCAGGAAGGAATAATTCTCAACTGAGAGGTCTCCCTGCCTCCCACCTGGTACTCTCTAGTCCGGCTCACGTCCTCCAATGACATGTCCTTCCTATAGTGACTGAACTGAGGAGCAACTGTTCTTTGTGCTCCTGCTGACATTGGTTCTCCCAGAATGAAGATACTTGCCTTTTTAAAAATTTTTTTATGGTACTGGGGACTGAATCCAGGGTTACTTTACCCTTTTACCTCCCCAGCCCTTTTAATTTTTTATTTTGAGGGAGGATCTCTCTAAGTTACTGAGGCTGGCTTTGAACTTGTGATCCTTCTGCCTCAGCCTCCCGAGTTGCTTAGATTACCAGCATGTGCTACTGTACCCAGCCACACCTGCCCTCAAAGATAAAATCTTTGTGTCAGTGTTGGGATGTCATATTACTTGATTTCCTGGGATCATCCCTACCTCCAATCTCACCTTTCTATCAGCCCCAGAAGCCTTGCTGAATTTGACCCTGTCCCTCCCCATCTTAATACTCCTTCTTAGCTCCTCACTACTCAAGATCAAATTCAAGTTCCTCGTCATGAACTTGGGGCTCCTGCTTCCAGCCATCCCCACTCGACATTGTAGCTCCACTCAAAACCGCCCAGGAGTTCCTGCAAATAAGCCTGGCACTCCAGCATCTAGGCCTGTGTACACACCACTCCCTTCACCTGCGAGGCCCTTCTCCTCACATGGCCGGCTTTGGCTTATTCTTTATGATTCAGCTCAAAGGGTCCCTCTTCCTTCCACACCCCTGGGGCAGGGGGCTCCTCTCTGGAGTAGCACTCCTCTGGAGCCCTTTCCACAAATGGAAATAAAGGAATGGGAAAAGGATGTCCCAGTTGTGTATGATACTGAGTGGGCCTGTGCACAAGCTGTGGTCCTGAGGGTTCCCCCATGGGTATAATGATGTCCCCGCCAGGTAAAAACCAAAACTAAAAAAACAAAAACAACAACAACAAAAAAAAACAACCTCTCCCTGTCTCTGTATGGATGTGAGCCTGGTCCATTCCCTGGTCATATATATCCATCCCCATGTTGCTATGTTCCTGTGAGAACTCTGTGTCAGTGTATATCTGTGCTTGGAAACTCTGTGTTCCCGGTATGACTGTACTTTCTATGTGACTGTCCCCAGGGGCCTCTGTTCTAGGCCCTGTGGACAACCAGGTAGGTTTGTTTCACACAGGTGTCTACCGGGCTTGTGGCTCCCCTGCCCCCCAGAGGGCCCTCAAGGTACCAGATGGGGGCTGTAGCTGGCTGGTTTCCCTGGGCTGGGCAGCATGGGCGCCGCGCTGCAGGGGTTGATGCGTTTCTCCTTCTGGCGTCGGTTGCAGAACCAGACGCGGATTACTTCCTTCTCCATGTGCAGCTGCTCGGCGATCAGCAGGATCTCCTCTGAGGTAGGCTTCTGGTTCTGTGGGCAGAGGGCTCGCTAGCACTGGTCTTCCCTCCTGCCACCCTCTGGGCCGCCAAGGAGGATGGGGCCTCACCGCTAGAAAACTCTTCTCTAAGGCGAAGCGGACATTTGTCTCGATGCTGGTCCTCTTCTTACGTCTCCGGCCGGGCAGCCCGTCAAAACCCATGCTGGGGCTGCTCAGCTGGTTAGGGCTGGGCAGGCTTGAGTCGACAGACATAGTCTCTGTGCCAGGAGGAGACATGGGCTTGAGAGGGCCCTCCCCCCGCCACAGCCCGCATCAGGTCCCCAACCCTAGAGCTCCAGCTCAATCTCACCTGCATCATTGAGCCACTTCTCCAAGAGAGGCTTGAGTTTGCACATGTTCTTAAAGCTCAGGTTGAGGGCCTCAAAGCGGGAAATGGTCGTCTGGCTGAAGTCGTTGCCGTAGAGCTTGCCCATGGCCAGGCCCACATCACCCTGAGCCATGGGGTAAATACGGAGCTGAGGTCAGGGAGAGGTCTTCCAGTACTAGGGTGCCTGTCAATTAGCGGTCTACTCCCCACACCCCCATCAACTGACCACACCCCCACGCTGCACACCTCCCACCCTGCAGGGTGTCCCCAGACCTGTGTGAAGCCCAGCTTGATGCGTCGTTGCTTGAAGGTGCGGGCGAACTGCTCCAGCTCCTCCAGATCACTGGGTTCCTCGGGGTGGGATGGTGGCTCCAAGCATTTGGGGGGCTGCGGGTGTGAGAGGTGCGGGTCGGGCAGCGTGGGGCGGGTCACGGCCTGGTGGGGCGGGCAGGTGGGGTGGGAAGCAGGACGGAGGGCGAGGATGGTGCTCAGCAGTGTCTGCGCGTCCCTGGTCCCTCCCTGCAGTCCAGACTCTTCCTGCAGGCTCCCCACCACTTGCCCCAGGAAGCACCTCAACATTCACTGTCAATCCCGTTAAAGGTTCCACTCTGCTGCCCCTCATGGGTCCTGTCATTGCCTGGAACTCTCTGCACTGCCCCTTAGAATCTGCAATCCCCTAGAAGGAGCAGCCAGCTTCTCTTGCCAAGTGCTTGTTCCCTGGAATGAGGAGGAGGGGAGTGGTACTTCCCTCCTCCTCTCCACCAAGGAATCAAAGGCTGGCTCTGGCTGTGCCACCGAATTGCTGGACAGCTCAGGCTAAGGCTTGTAACTTCCCTGCCCCCCCTCCCGTTTCTCCCTCTACAAGGGGGAAAACCATCATTGCTGCTCTGGCTGCTCACTAGGGTTTTGGAAGAATCAGGTTAAAAATAAGTGGGTTTCCAGACCCACAGAATGTACAACACCAAGAGTGAACCCTGATGTTCAAGCTATGGACTTTGGTAATAACAATGTGTCCATGTAGGTTCACTGACTGTAACACATGCACCACTTGGGTTGAGGATGTTGATAAAGGGGAAGGCTTGCATGTGAAGGACAGCAGGTATATGGGATCTACCTTCCCTGTTCAGTTTTGCTGTGAGTCTAAAACTGCTCTAAAAAATTTAAGTCATAAAAAAATTGTAGATAGGCTGGGTGCAGTGGTGCACACCTGTATTCCCTGCAGCTTTTGAGGCTGAGGCAGGAGGATCGAGAGTTCAAAGCCAGTCTCAGAAAAACTAAGGTGCTAAGCAACTTAGTGAGACCCTGACTCTAAATAAAACCCAAAATAGGTCTGGGGATGTGGCTCAGTGTTTGAGTGTCCCTGAGTCCAGTCCAGGTACCCCCCCAAAATTGTAGATTGCAAATAAAATATAAAAACAAAGACAGGGAGGACAATGAGAGAGATGGGCAAAGAAGCAAGAGTTCTATCTGGAATGCTTCATTGTTCTAAAAATAAAAAGTCTAAAGCAGATGGTAGGAATAGGGATGTCTGTCACCCCTGATGATCCCAAACCCTGAGACCAGCTGTGGTTTGGAAATCCTAAGTTTTTCAGAGTTTGGGAAGTTTATATATAGGGCATGTATTATAGATAAGGTGACACCTCCCAATCAGGATAAAGGCATTACCTTGTAATCGGACACATTAGCAGTTCTGCAGCAGCAGGAATATTATACCAAGAGACATAGGAAGTCATACACTGCCCCATATTAGGCAGAGCAGCTTTTGCAGCCAAATGAGTCTGGTGCCAATGTTGCAAGAACACCTTGACTTTCAGAGCATTTTAATTTCAGCGCTGTAGCCAAGACCTGTATTGGTCTTTAAACTTTTCAGTCTTTCTGAACTAGTTCGTGTGTGTGTGTGTGTTGAGGGGCACTGGGAATTGAACCCAGAGGTTTGAGCAGGCTAAGCATACACTCTTTAACTGAGCTACACCCCCAACCTCTGTATATTTTCTGAAAGGGTTGTACAAGAAAAAAAAAAAAAGGAAAAAAACTGAACTAAGTAAAAGATGTGAAAAAGTCTCATTAAACTCTAGAACTCAGGCGGCAAACTGAAGGAAAAGGGTCCAGGCAAGAGGACCCTGAGATGCCCTGGAGAGCTGATACCTTTCTAAGGGCGGGGGAAGGGGCAACTCACTCACTGCCTCCAGGTAATCACATGAATATACATCAGTTTTGCAAGATATTCTGATTTGTGAAGAGAAGCTGGAAATTGGTGCTTTCTGGGAATTAAGCTGATGATGGTAAAATAAAACATCTGTGGGCCCCTCTCCCAGGACAGACTCTAAGTCTGGGAAATGAACATGAGTTAGCGCCTAACAGATGCCTTGCTCACAAGCACCCTCCAGTTTCATGCTGGAAGAAACCAAGGCATTTCTAACAGAAAGCCTTGCAACCTCCTGAAAGTTTGTGTTTGTTAAGATGTACATTTTGAGGGCATGGGGATCATCAGATCTAAATCTTTCTTCAGATTCTCAAAGGAGTCTGTGTGCCTGCAAAGGTTAAGAAGCACTAGTCTAGATTGACTCCCTTCGTTCTCTAGAGGAAGGCACTGATCCAGACAGGAAGCATGCTTTGGGGTCACACAGAAAATCTGTGGCAGATTCCCCAGCTTCTGTCTTGGTTCCTGTGGCTTTGGGGTGGGCAATGAAAATGAAACTCCCCCACACACACCACCTCTGTTCACCCAGCCAAGGGCCCTGCTACTAGCCTGGCCTGGGCACACTCAGAGGACCCTCTCACCTGTGTGGGAAGCCCGGCCCGGGGTTGGGAGGTCAGAAGAGCTCCCTGGGTTTGCTGAGGTAGCTGGAATAGATTTGGCGTCGGTAGCAGGCCTGGAGAGAAATGGGGGATACACAGGGTGAGGGAGGGTTGGGGGAGGTGAGGGAATACTGTTGAGGCATCAGGGAAGTGGATTTTTGTTTGTTTGTTTGTTTTGTGAGGGAGTAGGGACAGGAGAGGAGACTTACCTGGCTGACTCTGCTGGGTCTGCGGCAGCAGGAACTGAGCAGGTGGCTGGAGGTGGTGGCCTGGCACAAGCACCAGCTGCTGGAGCTGGAGGAGCTGCTGTATGTCCTGGCAGAAAGGTGATGGACAGAAAGACCATCAGCCTGAGTCCTGGCCAGATTCCTCCCTCTCTGTATCACCTCAGTCCCCAAGGGACTAAAACAGGAACAGTGCAATCTGGCACTGGGCAGCAAGGGAGTCCATCAGTCTCTGAACAGCACCCTGAGCTGAGGGCACCCAGAGGCTTCTTTTGCCATGGGGTACCAGGGAGTCCCATATGAGCAGTCTTAGGAGAGCTCGCTCTTTATTTATTTATTTTCCTTCCTAATGAAATATTTGCCTTGCCATACATTACTGCAGAACAAATAGGTTTGTTTAAAAATGTAAACCAAATGGGCTGGAGATGTGGCTCAGTGGTAGAGCACTCGCTGAGCACATAAGGCCCCGGTTCGATCCTCAGCACCACATAAAAAATAGATAAATGAAACGAAGGTATTGTATCCAACTACAACTAAAAAATAAATATTCTTTAAAAATGTAAATCAAATTAAGTCTTTCTTCTTTTATAAAACACTCCTAAGAGAAGTGAATAGATACCCCAAATTGGTTTTAAAATACTTCAGCAAATAGAGACTTTGTAAATTGGCAAAACCATTTTGGGCAACTCTTTTGCACTGTTATGAACTGATAAAAAGATATACTGGAATCTTAATCTTCAGAACCTCAGAGCATAAACTTATTGGAAATAGGGTCTTTGCAGATGATCAAGTTAAAACAAAGTCATTAGAGTGGACTCTAGTCCATTATGACTGATGTCCTGATAAAAGGGCAAATTTGGAAACAGAGGAAAGATGATGTGAAGAAACACAGGGGAAAGATGACCTTCTACAAGCCAAGGACAGACTTCCAGAACAGATGTTTTCTTCACAGCCCTCAAAGGGATCAACATGCCAACACTTTGGTTTTAGACTTCTAGCCCCCCAAACTGGGAGAAAGTAGTTTCTCTTGTCTAAGTCACACAATTTGTGGTTGTTAGAGCATCCCTAGTAAATTAATCCAGTATCTACTGAAACTGAACCTAACCTGCCTTATGATCCAGCAATTCCTCCCCTGGGTATGAAGCACCATAAATGTGTATGAATGTTCTCCACAAGACGGGCTACAGTGTCCATGTAGGCCATTGGAAATAGCCAGAACCTGAAGACAGCCCCGTGCCTCACAGCAGGGTGGGTAAATAATTCAATGGATGCTACAGCAATGAAGATGAGCGTCCAGAGTCTACCTGACATCACACACAATAGCACCAACTTCCTGAGCCTCCTAAGTGAAAGAAGCTAGTTGCAGAAAAGAACACCTGTTGATTTTCCTCGTTTCATTTCCTGTCAGGAGCTTGGGAAGCTTCTGGATGCCAGTTCATGGGCACACCCACTTTGTAGGTATTCATTGAGCTGTATGTCTATGTACACTTTTCTGTATGTGTTATACCTCAGTGAAGTTTTTCTTTTAAGGGTGTCAGGCAGGGGAAGAAACAGAGGAATAAAATCCAGCCCACCCCACCACCAAAAAAGTGAGGTGTATGGATGAAATCCTACTTGCCAGTAGGACTGACAAAATGTTGGTGTCTGTTAAGCTGGGCGGAAGGCATATGAGGTTCACTGCATCAGCCTCTCTACTTCTATGCTTGGACATTTCCAAAAGGAAAAGCAACACCCCCATACACACTGCAATCAAAACTCTTCACCTGGGTAGAAGGCCTTTATATAGGCCTGTGCAGTTCTCCCTGACCTCAACCCCTCCTTCTGTCCTCTCCAGACACTCAGCCCTATTCTGAGCCAAATTTTTTCCTGTCTCAGGACCATTGCACATTCAGTTCCCTCTATGGGCATGTTCTAGTTCTCAAACAAACTCTCCTCAGAGATGCCCACAACCCCACCTCCCTTTCTCAATCCCCATTTCACCTCCTTCACAAGCCTCATCAGACTTCAGGGGTGGCTCTTTCTGTCTCCTCATTCATAGTGTGCCGCCCTCACTAGGAGGTCAGTTGCATGAGAGCATGATCTTGGCTCTTCCCATCACAACACTGTATCCTTAGCACTAGAATAGCACCTAGCACCCAGTAGGTGTTCCACATATTCATGTTATGGACAAAAACTCATACTTCATCATTTACTTTCCAAATTTTATGTATATGTAGCTGAAAGCTATAACATTATTTATGATATTTTTCTCTTCTGGGAAATTTGGGGTGTTGGCATATGCCCCTCAATTCCTTTCAATGCTAAAGACCAATTTAATGTCCCAGGAAATGAACCATTTGAGAAAAATATAAGCAACTCGACAGAAAAGGTTGATTTCTCTAATAAAGAGCAATTACAAATCCATAAGAAAAATACTAATGATCCAGTACTCTAGAGAGCGCCTACCAAAGGAAGTACAGTGAATTCACATCACAAGTAACAAATAGAACTACACTGAGGTGCTCTTTTCATCTCTCAGATCAGCAAAGATGAAAACAGTGCACAAGACACCACAGTGGAAATGTGGGAAAACACTCTTCCTGTGACTGGCCAGGGGGAACTTGGCAATGTCTATAAAAATTGCAAATTACTTATCCTCTGACACTGCTGTTCCACTGCTAGGACTTTGTCTTAAAGACACATTCACACTTGTGCAAAATGACCTCCATAGAAGGATATTCCCAGCAGCATGCAGTGTTCTAGCAAGAGTAGGAATCAGTTGGTCATGAAGCAATAGAGGATGGGTGGGTGAATTAGAGTGGATCTTCACAGTGGACACTATGCAGTCATCAAAAGAAGACTCTTTGTGTCTTGATATAGAAGTCTCCAGAATGTCCTGTCAAGTGGAAATCTCAAGAGGCAAAACAATGGATATGATGTGCGATTATTTGTGTAAAAAGTGTAAATATAGGTATTGATTTGGGTATGCATAGATAATATTTGGAAAACTATACCAGAAACAGGTCGTACTGTAAATCCTTCTGCATTTCTTAGATTTGGAACATTTATCTTGTCCAAACAAATATTCAGGTGTCCTGCCCCCGCCCACCCAAATAGTGGCGACCAACATCCATGCTTTTCCAACCTTTCATCTTACAACAATTCAAGGCTGTTCCCTATCTCCCTGAAAGGAGAAGCCTCTGCTTTCTCCATTGCCAGCAGAGGAGGAGGTATGCTGATGCTTCCTCCCTCTAGCTGCCAGTCCCCTCAGTGTCCAGTGTAAGGGTTTTGAAGTCTTCCACTATATCCTGTGAGACCAAGTCCACTCTGCCTTCCTTCTCCTAACTACTGCAGCCCAATAACATACCCATGGCTGTCTCCCTTCAGATGTAGATGAACTTCAAAGCAAAAAATATTAAGCTTTACAGCCCTCCATTTACAATAGACCCTTCCAAAGCTCTTGACCTAATATTTCATAATATTGTCTTCTTTTTATTTCAAAGCCCTCCAAACTGTATACTCTTCAGGCCTCAGAAAAGGAGACCCACCCTGCTCTGTGCTGCCCTCTCACAAGACAACAAGTTTGTTGATGTACTTTCTTCCTCTGCTAGACTGAAACTCTAGCAGGAAGAGGCATGTCTTATTTAACTTCTTGTATCCATAACCCTTAAAAGACCCTCAGAAACTCCCATTATATGCCCACTGGATTGAATCCAATGGGAAAAAAACTAGAAAGTCTTATTTGATTTTTTTCTGATTTGCTATGACTCTTAGTATGTTGATTAAAATACTTGGTAATTTGTACCTCTCCTTAGCATGATTCTCAATGAAAACTCCCCTTTCCTGCCAGAAGCCTAAAAGAGGTGTCTGTGATTTGCATCCTGAATCAGCAGGAGAGAGGATGGGGAAAGTGAATCCTGGGTTGTAGAGGATCTCATGGTGAGAAATATAGATTTAAAAAATTATCCACACCCATCCAGTTAACCAGACCAAGACTCAGGGGTCATCTGTGGTTCCTACTTTCCCTTTCTCTCTGCTATCCATCCAATCCAGCTCACTTTCTACCAGCTCCCTCTACTTCTTTTTCTCCCCACCGTCACCATCCTGGATGAAGCCACCATACCATTTGTCCCTGACCATCCATTCTTCCAAAGCAGCCAGAGAGGGATCTAATGAAATGTAATTCTGCACATTCATATGTCCTCATTTTTTTAACAGTACTGGGGATTGAACCATCTAGTGCTTTGAGTGCTTTACCATTAAGCTACATCCCCAGCCCTTTTTATTTTACTTTATTTGAGATACTGGGGATTAAACTCAGGGCACTCAACCACTGAGCCACATTTCCAGCCCTATTTTGTATTTTATTTAGAGACAGGGTCTCACTGAGTTGCTTAGCACCTCGCTTTTGCTGAGGCTGGCTTTGAACTTTTGATCTTCCTGCCTCAGCCTCCTGAGCCACTGGGATTACAGATGTGTGCCACTGCATCTGGCTCCTTTTTATTTTTTGAGACAGGGTTTCATTAACTTACTGAAGGTCTCAATAAATGGCTAAGGCTGGCCTTGAACTTGTGATCCTCTTGCTTCAGCCTCCTGAGTCATTGAGATTACAGGATGTGCCACAATGCCTGGCTTATGCCATGAATTCTTTGACATCTGAAACAAGGTATCACTCCATTCTCAGAATTAAAAACACACAAAATAAAACATGGGATTTCAATTAAATCAATCATATTGAAATTCAGTTAAGTATATTTTACATTGTAATAAGTAATCTATAGGTTTCTTTACAAGCACATCAAATAAGAGGATCCAGCAATAGGTCTGATAACTTCTATAATTTCAAAGCAATGATGTGAAAATATATATATATATATATATATAAATATATACACACACAATACTTAAATACACTTTTTTGTGTATGTGTATACTGGGAATTGCACCCAGGGTGCTCTACCACTGAGCTTCATCCCAGCCCTTTTTATTTTTTATTTTGAGACATGATCTTGCTAAATTGCCAAGGCCAGCCTTTAACTTGTGATCCTCCTGTCATTGCCTCCCAAGTATGTGAGATTACAGGTGTGTGTCCCTGCACCTGGAGAAAACAAT